AGCATAGGGAAAGTTCGATTTTATTGGTTGATGATGATCAGCATAATTAAAAATTCCGATTGGTCAATTTAACAAATCCATATTATGTATTACATGCAGTCAAAGCTCGAGACAAAGCATTTTGAAATAGCGAAAATTTTTCGCATTATAAATATGTTTGAACTTATAAATTTGTCTCCTGATAAGCATATAGAGAAGACATTAGATCAGAACATGGACTTTGTTATATTGAGCCTTGACTAGTCTCGTATGTGATATTTAAAGTTAATTCTATACTAGATAAGAAGTTCGCGCGAGAAACATTTCTACTACAGTATTAATTAACCTTAACTAAACATTTTATCTAAATGCTAAAATTATTAAATTATTAACAATCAAACTTATGTAATTTCCAGTGTTTTTTCTTTGAATTGTGTGTAACACACGATCATGTAATCGAAATTGGTCAAAAGTCATGGGACTAATAAATTCTTCGCGACTTTGCTTTATTTTTTTATCAAACGCGCCATTTTTTAAAATTAAAACCTTCTTTAAACTTATATATCTTGAATAAAATTTTTATTATAACATTAAATTAAAATTATGGGTATCAAAAAAAATGAAGGTCCATGTTCAGTTCAAAATTGCGATACAAAAACAGGTCGTTTTCGTCAATTTACTCAATTAGCATATGAAAAAGCTCAAAGAAAAGGAACCTACGCTTCTTATAACTATTTAAAAATTGGACAACAATTGTGTCATAGTCATTATATGCGAATTGCTGAGCCTGATAGGCATCAAATAGCGGAAGTTCCCGCTTTTGTAGAAGTTCCTGTTCCTGTAGAAGTTCCTGTTCCTGTAGAAGTTCCTGCTCTTGTAGAAGCTCCTGTTTTTGTAGAAGTTCCTGTTTCTCTGGAAATAAATCATAATTATGCTAATAATAATGCAACTGAAGGTAGTAAATGTAATTATGAAATGTTAGTTACAGCTAATTTCAAAATTCACGAACCTCTCTAAAAATTTAACCCGATGTCGGGATGGTGGGTGACTATGTGTGGTTGATTACGTATTATATTGATAAATTGTTAAAATACTTATATATTTTAGCAATTTATCAATATAATACGTAATCAACCACACATAATCATCCACCATCCCGACATCGGGTTAAATTTTTAGAGAGGTTCGTGAATTTTGAAATTAGCTATAATATAAATTATGCAATCAGCACGAAGTGCTAGTCACGTATAAGTTCGCTTAAATATTTGATGTAAATTTATATTTATTAAATATTTGACCCAATATTCATATAGAATTAACAGATTATACATTTGTGGAACAAATTAAAATACTTACAACCCTTCTGTATAAAAAGCGTCATGAAGCTGATAGCTTAGAGTTTGATTATATTTGCTTTCAACAAATGATTGAAGAAGCAGATCCGCGTTTAAAGGGTTTTTTAAATTTTATGGTAGAACTGCTAATTCCTAATACCAGATCTGCATACAATAAGGCTGAAGCAAAAAAATCAGTTGTTAGCTTATGTTACATAATGGCAGAAATGAGAAATAAGTTTGTTAATGATTTCAAGTTAGAAGTTGGATTATACCTATTGGCATTGGGAACATCATGTACTACGATTGATACAATTCATAGTATCGGATTCTCTTCCTGCTATCAAACTGTCAATAATTATATGCGAAAGATTATGAATGAGCACCCTAGAAAAATCAGAGAATATTTCTCTAAACATGTAAGTAAGATTCTAAAAAAAGATTTGATAAAAAGACCCGAGCAGTTCACATATACATTATCTAAATGCTAAGAAAACCAG